TCATTGACTAATATTTATTGAGCACCTACTGTGTGCTAGACAAAGTCCCTGTGGTCAAGAAGCTCACAGTCAGTGCTGGAGGCTTGCTGCTCTCAGGGAACATTTCAGAGGCAATTTCTTAAACCAAAGGAGAAAGCTGAATGGTGGGCATGTTGGGAGCATGTAGGTAGCGGGGGAGGAGATCTCTGGCTCGGGAAAGGAGAAGAGAGACTTCCGAGTTACTACCTTGTTGGAGCCTCCCATGGATCTGAGCCAGACAGTGCAGGCCGGTGAGAAAGTGGAGGCTGCAAGGACTCATTGCAATTTGCCCTGGGAGTTGGTAGTAGGGCTGGCGGCAAGACTGTGGATTGAGAGGAGAAGCATCTTTGGGTTGTTTTCCTGGTGCTGTGGACAGCCCAGGCTGGGAGGAGCAAAAAGCTTCTTTCTCCTGCACCCACTCCCCCAACTCTGTGACTGGCTGCAGCCCTGGGTGGGCTGGGGTTGGGTGATGCAAATGTTAAAGTAGAGATGCTGATGCTGCCGGGAAGAAAGGGGATGGAGGCCACTGAGTGTCCTTGTCACACTGATGAGTGTCTGACAGGACAAAAAGGACTCATCTGGGAGTGTCCCCAGCCTGTCCGTTCCCCTGCTTGCTAAAGAGGGCTCTGGCATGGCCCATTCAGTTCTTCCAGACTCCCCAGTCCCCCTTCCACCTCCAGGGAGGGCCCTGCTGTTAAGATGAAACTGGCTCCTTGGCTCTCTGGGATGTAGAATAGGGGGAGTAACAGGAAAATCTAGGGCTGAGATGAAGCCAGGGCTAGGGGGGTTTTGGAGGAAGGAGGTACTAGGGGACTCTGCAAAGTGAGAGGGAAGTGGGTGGGAGAGGACGAGGCAATGGGGAAGTTTCTCTGACTATGCGCCGCCTCCAGAGGTTTGAGAGATGCAGTGGAAGACTTTGAAATAATTTTCATTAACTTTTTGGTGGCTGGACCATGTGTCTTCACGTGACACTGACCGTGTGGACCCGGGTTTTAGTCAGGTTACATGTCATGAGAACAAAGACAAAAACAATACCTGACAGGTACTGAATGTTATTATTCACTACGTAGAAACAGAAGTGATGAAACACCGCACATTTCACTCAGCAACACTCTTCTGCCTTTTTCTCCTTTACATGCTGAGTTTTGACCTCCTCAGGCTGCTTTTTCCCCCCTCAGTGCTCACTAATAGAATTTCAATATTTGGTCTTAAAACCACGGATCCTTAATAACTGCTGGAGAAAGAAATCTCAGCAAGATAAGATGTTAGAAAACATCTCCACTCTCCCTGCAGCTACAGGAAAACACTTTCTGGTCTGCATCAAAAAATCCATCCTTATAAATCCGAGACTTCAGAATAGTTGCAATGATCAATGGTAAATACCATTTACTCCTTAAAAAACTCCATAATTCTGTTTGATTGTCTTAATAATTGATTACTCTGGTAATAGTATTTAAACGGACATTCCTGTTTTCTGAAAGGTATACATACTTGTGAGTAGTCTTTGTAAAACCAGAGGGGGTGGGCACTGCCTTCTCTCGGCAGGAATGAGGTGAAAAAAAAATACCCAGGTCTCTGTTAGAATTCTTATTTAAACAAGGAGTTTGAGAACCTTCGTCTCATTTGAATTAACATGAGCAAAGTGCTGAGTTCTTTACCTGGGTTATCTCGTTTAATCCTAACAACCTCACAAGGCAGGCTCTATGGTAATCTCTCTTTTACAGACAGGACAATGAGATGATAGGAGATCGGCAAAAGTGCTGAAGGACACGCAGCTGGCAGGTGGCGAAGCCGGGAGTTTGAGCCAGGCGGTCTGACACGGACTGTCTTACCCGCAGTGCTGTGCCACCTGCCTAGGGGGATCTTCATTTCTTCCTGTGGGTTGATGATCTGGGAAAAGGAGGATGGAGAAACTGGACCCTTCTTGAGAATCTAAGCATTCGGAAAGAGGGAGAGAAAGACTGCAGAGGAAGGGCAGCTTTGGAGAGCCTGGAAGGAAGGAACAGCCTAGAAAAGAGGAGCAGAGTTGAGAGTATTCCTGGGTCAGGGTCCAGAAGTTGCTGGGGGAGCAGGGAGTGGAGAAGAGCCCATGGAAGGGCTGCCAGAATGGCTGGGGTGGGTCTGGCAGGTGAAAGGCATGGGGAACTTAGGCCAATGCCATGGACATGGCACAGCTCAGCTCAAGGGGCACCACTTACCAGGAAGCCTAGGTGACAAGTGGCCCCTGAACTTGGGTAGAATGGAGACCTAACTTGGAGGAGCAGCCAACTCACTGGATAAAAGAAGAAGAGGGTATATGCAGAAGAACCTGATAAATGCTTTAATGCTCTGGCAAGCCAACTGGGCAAGTGAGGCTCCGTACCTGGAACATACCTATTTCTACATTGCCTGGATGGCACAATCACTCCTCCTAGTAATGAAAGTTGGTACATTTCAAAATAGCGGTGACCATAGGTTCTTCAGGTATAAGACCCAGTGCCTGTTTGCCTAGTGTGCTTCCCCATCCTCCTTCTGATTCTTTGGAAACTATTCTTCACACACACACACACACACACACACACACACTCTCTCTCTCTCTCTTCCAGTTATCTTCTGCTACATAACACGTTAACCAAAACTGAGTGGCTTAAAACAACCACTCTGTTATGCTCACAATTTCTGTGGCTCAGAAACTGGGAAAGGGCACAGCAGGGACAGCTTGTCTCTGCTTACATGATGACTGAGTCCTCATTCAGGAGGTCTCAGTCTTGGGGCAAGAATCTTCCTGAAACAACTTCATTCACATGCCAGGTGGTTAATGTTGGTTGTCAGCTCAGATCTCTACTGGGGCTGTCAGTCAGGATATCTGCATTCAGCCTCTCTGTGTGGCCTGGGCTTCCTCACAACATGGCGGCCTTGATCCTCTTAAATGGGAGCACAGATCTCCAGAGGTGAGTGTCTCAAAAGGTAAAAAGTGAAAGCTGCAAGTTTCTGAGGCTGGGCCCAGAAGTGAGGAGAATGTTGCTTTTACCATATTCTATTGGTTGAGGAAGACACAAAGATCCAGTCAGTTTCAAGAGAAAAAGGCATAAACTTAACTATGAGATGGGAGGAGCATGTAAAGCAGGTTCCTTTTGCACTGGTTACCACCTTGTCAGAGTCTGGAGAGACAGAACACCCACACACACCACAAGGTATATGAAGCAGATTTATTACTTACAGACAGAAGACTGGGATCCATTGTGAGCTGGTCCCCCAAGGCTCAAGAAAGCTGCCCGAGGCAGATGGGCCTCAACTACACGTGCGCTGCCTACACCACAGCTGAGTGACTCCAAAGGGCAGCTCACCCCAGGTTATTATATACGTCGGGACAATGAGACTCACTGGGCTAAAGCTTGGAAGGGCATCTTGCTTCCTGGAGAGAGAGGAACCAAGCATGGGCTGTCCCAGGCACCTTCCTCCCTGACTCAAGATGTTACATTTCCTAGGAAGGGCTGGAACAAGACCCAGGCTGTTTCAGGCAGTTCTATAGAATAGCCTTATCTCAGGATATTGCATTCCCAATGGATTCTATAGTGATTCTACAAGGAAGGAGGACTGAGTCAGTCCACAGCCACCCAGAAAACTGTTCTGCAATGCCAATGAAACAGGGAAGAAAAGCACGTGGGATGGGAAATATTGCGGGGTCCATCTTTGAAAAATACTTATACCTTTGGTGGTCTTGGCATGGTTGCCAATTATAGTGTTCCCCGTCCCCCTCCAGAAATGGTCACCTGGTCTATACCGGTTCATCAGGTTACCCCATCCCTCTGTCACAATGAAATGTTCGGGGTTAGATATGTGACCCAAGCAGAGCCATTTGAATTTTTCCTGGTGTTGGTCTATGGATTTAGAGGAGGACTTTTCTGGGAGGATACATGTCTGGGCCTGCTGGGGACCATCTCAGCTGCCAGCTAGGGTAAGCCCGCCTATAGAATGATTCCAAGGAGACACATGCAGAGCTGGGAGTTAGAGAGAGACAGGCAGGGGTTGACCACATAGCTTGAGCCTCTGGGTGGCATCATGTCCCTAACTCAGTCCTGCCCAGGGTTTTTATGTTTCTGGCATAACTGAGAGAATTCTTACCAACAGACCGGGGGACAGGGGGACGATTAGACCAATTAGACCACAAAGGTAGTGAAAGAACCACGGTTTGGAGCCCCAAGACTCATTCTATGGAGGAAAAATTTCCTCCAGAGGGAAGATAGAATATCTTCAGGGAAGAAATAGTGGGAGATGCTTTGGGGAGTCCCCAACCCCATGAAGTATGTGACCCCCATCTCTTCCTCTCACCCCATGATGATCTTATTCACCAAAGAATCCAAGAATCATGGAGGTGATGTAGAAGTTGGGTGATTAAGGGTGTCTGCTTCCCATTCCTGTGATACTGAGCAAGTCACTTCAGTGTTGTCATATAAAATACAGAGGTTGGTGTTATCTGAGGATTGAATGAGGTGATGGATGTGAATCCCTGACAGCAGTGCCGGGGACACAGTGAACTCGTAAGGACTGGAAACTGTTCCACGAGCTCTTTGGGTGGTTAAGACTCCTTTGATGTTAGCACAAAGAGAGGTGTCAGCATCTCCAAAATAGCCTCAACTCTGCCCAGGCTTCTATTAGTGTTGATGGTGGAACAATTGGAAATGATAAGAGGCTGTCTTATAGATTTATATGTATGGGCAAATGGTAATTTCCTTAACAAACAGGCACACACAGCAGGACACAGATTCCTCCAAGGTCCAGGAGCTGCAAAGGGAGCACCTACTAAATCAGGACTGGTGGATAAAGCCCAGAGTGTCCTCCCCACCTTCCTCATGTTAATGAGCTGACAGATTCCAATTACAAGTCCAGTGGAAGGACCTGAATGGTGAAGTTTGACAGTGGTCTTAAAACCAAAATAGCAATACATACGGAGAGTGTGCATGGTGCACAGGCATCTTCATAGCCCCACACACCTCTTGACAATGGTCAGAGTTAACAGGAGAGGAACAGGAGGGGGCTGGGAGGAAGGGAAGGGAATATCTGGGGAGTGAAATGAGGAGGCCCTGCAGAATGAGCTGTTGGTAGTCCCTTCTGGGAAAGGAAGGGTTTACCTGGTTGAGTTGTAATGGTATCTTTATTCTCGCTAGCTCAGGCAGTTTGTAAATTTGTGAAGAGTCCCATGTGATCTTGAGGTCTCATCCTGAAAAATGGGCATGACAATACAGGCTTTCCATACTTACGGGCAGTTTTAGGAGCACCAGTGGGGATACTCAGGTGTGGAAGCAAAAACAATGTGGAAAATGCAGGTCCTAGGGCCACCGACAGACTTCCAGACTGTTGGAGCTGAAGGATCATGGAATTCAAACCAACCCCTTGGTTTTACAATTGAGAAGAATAAGGCCCAGGAACAGGAAGGCAGTTGCCTGGTATCCTCAAATGAATTAGGGAGAAGGAGCCCTGACGCTAAGTCATGTGATCCTTGTTTTCCATTCATTGTTCAGTTTGCTTCCTTCATGGCAGTCGTATCTGGTGCAGATCCCCAAGGCGCCTGTGACTGGTGATGAAGTAGGAGGCAGGACTTGACTCAGTAGGCAGGACTCAACTCCAGAGGCAGGGCTTGGATTGAGGACTAGCTAAAACAAGGACAGGAAGTGAGCACCTCCCCATAAGACACACCTACCAGTGTGCTATGTCAGTGTGCTGTTGCCATGGTGATGCCCAGAAGTTACCACCCGTTTCCATGGCAATGACTTGATGACCCGGAAGTTAACACACCTTTTCTAGAAATGTCTGTGCAATCTGCCCCTTAATTTGAATATAATAAAACGTTGTGTAAATATGACAGCAGAAGTGCCTCTGAGCTGCTACTGTGGGCACACTGCCTCTGGCGTATCCCTGCTCTGCAAGGAGCAGTGCCTCTGCTGCTGCTGGGCACTGCCGCTTCAATAGAAGTTGCTGTCCAACACCACCATCCTGATCTTTAATTCTTTCCTGGGCAAAGCCAAGAACCCTCCTGGGCTAAGCCCCAATTTGGGGGCTCACCCACCCTCCATCATTGAGTCTCATGGGCTTGCCCACCATGCACTGATGGTCTTTTTGGGTCCTCTGGGTGGTCTGGGAATTGATACCCTTGTTTTATTAATACTTTAATTGTCATGTATGTTGATGCTTTTGTTCACTGCATAACTGATCGTGTATGGTCTCCCTGTTGGCCTCCCATCAGCGTGAGCCCAGACTTCCCTGGCTGTGGTGAGGTTTGTTTCTTAGATGATAAGAGTGGATTAAGCACTCTGCCAGCCCTCCCTCCCCAACTGGTAGCCCATGAATTAAAAGGGTTTGAGAAGAACCAGCATAGAAGCGGCAACAGATTCTATTTCTAGATGAGCCAGGTGGTTCCAAAGCTATCATTCATTCATTCTTTCAACAATAAATCATCATATATGACCCTACTCACCTTCTCTCACCACATCTCACATCTCATTACATCTGGAGTCATGAGAGAACCAGAGGAAAGGAGCGTGGTTGACTTGGGAAAGTGCATCCTTAATTTTGGAGATAAAATTGCTCCTGATGGGAGACAAGGAGAGGTTATCATCACCATAATCTTAGTGGAGCATTGCAATAGCCTAAACTGGTCTCCCAGCATCCCCTCCTGCCTCCCTAGTCTCTTCTCCACAGAGCAGTTGTATTAGTCAGGGTTCTCCAGAGAAGCGGAACCAATAGGAGATATATACACATATCTTTGATTTATGGAGAGAGACGGTAATATATTGTATAAATATATAAAGTAATATATAAATATATAAGTATATATTATGTAAATATATGATGTATATATGAATATATTCATCTTCTGATATGAATAGTAATATATAATATATATTAATTAAATATATAATATATATAATAAGTTATTTAAAAGGTTTTTATAAGGAATTTATCCATGTGATTATGGAGGCTGACTGGTCCCAAGATTAACAGTTAGCAAGCTGGAGATCCAGGAGAGCTGATGCTGGAGATCTAGTTCAAGTCCAAAGACCTGAGAACCAGGAAAGCCAATGGTATAGTTCCAACCTGAGGGCTGGTAGACTCGATACCTAGGAGGAGCCATTTCAGTTCAAGTCCAAAGGCAAGAAAGAACTTATGTTCCAGCTGAAAGGCAATCAGGCAGGAGGAACTTCCTCCTATTTGTAGGGAGGGCAGCCTTTTTGTTCTATTCAGAACTTCGGTTGGATGGGATCCATCCACATTAAGGAGGGCTATCTGCTGTACCCAGTCTACTGATTCAAATGTTAATCTCATTCAGAAACATCCAGACTAATGTTTGACCAAATGCCTAGGCACCCCATGGGTCAGTCAAAGCTTTTTAAACTGCTGTGATGATTATTTTCGTTTTAAACATAAATCAGATCATATCACTCCCATGCTTAAGATCCAAACACATTATATGACCTACAAGGTCCCCTCCCACTTCTCCAACTTTATTTCCCTTCCATCTTCCCTTCATTCACTACATTCCATCCGTACTGGCCTCCTTCCCATCTTTTTTTCTTGAGATGGGGTCTTGCTCTGTTGCCCAATCTGGAATACAGTGGCACAATCACAGTTCACTGCAGCCACAACTTCCCAGGCTCAAGCAACCCTCCCACCTTAGCCTTCTGAGTGGCTGGCACTGCAGGTGTGCACCACCACACCCAGCTAATTTTATTTATTTATTTTTGTGGATATGGAGTCTCCCTATATTGCCCAGGGTGATCTCAATCTCCTGGGCTCAAACAGTTCTCCCACCTTGGCCTCCCAAAGTGCTGGGATTACAGGTTTGAGCCACCATGCCTGGCCCTTCCCATCTTCTGATGCTACATTTCTTTCCATCTCAGCACCACTGCATTTGCTGCACCTTTTGCAGAATGCATTCCTACTAGATCTTCACAAATCTGGCTCCTTCTCATTGTTCAAGTCAACTCAAACATTGCCTCCTCAGAGAGGCCTTCCCTTACCATCCTAGCTAAAGTGATTCTCACTCTATCACCATAGAGCCCATCACTCTACTTATTTTCTTCATAGCACCTAGAACAAACTGAAATTATCCTAGTTATTGATATGTTTATTGTTCATGGTCTTCCCCTCCCACTAGAATGTAAACTCCATGAGAGCAGATGATTTATTTGGCTCATTCTTATAATTCCAGCTCCTACTGCACAGTAGGTTTTAAGCAAATAGTAGTTGAATGAATTAATTAATTGATGGTGGCACAGATTTTAAAGGAGAGATTTAAAAATAGCTTCTCTGCACCCTCTTATAGAGGAAAGACTTTTTGTGTCTATGTTTCAGAAAATGAGGTGGGTCCCAGGAATTCTGTTCTTTTACCCATGTGCTGGACTGACAACTCTAACTATGAGAAACCCCATTTGCCTGGGCATTCCCTGAAATGTGGGTCCCTTGGGAAGCACCTGGATTGGAAGAAGGAGGTGGCAATAGAAGGAAGGTAAAAGTTGGGTGTTTTCCAAACCAATCGTTTCATCACACATACATTTTTAATGCTGTCAAAATTGGTTATACAAAGCTGGAAGCAGTAGCATTGTGTGTAAATAGCAAATCGTGGGAAGACTGCTCTTCTCAAATACTTTTTTTTTTTTTTTTTGGCCAACCCAGTCTATTTCCATATCCATTTAATGTGTGAGTCTCTGTCCCTGGTGCTGAAACAATTGAATCTGCCGAGCGCCTGGGCTTCAGGAGGGGGACACCTCTGTCCGAGGTGCTGGAACTCCCTCCCCTTCACCCTCTCCTCGTTCTCATGGAGCTGGCCAGGAGTGCGTGGTCACTGCGCCCTGCCATTGCTGGGTCACGCTGCAATGATAGCTGCTGGAAATTACAAGGCCGGACTATAATTCCATCCTTATTTGGAATGTCTTGAAACTCATCCAGGTGCTGCTGCTACAGCCATCCTGTTCTGCTCTGGGGAGAGGGGCTATGGGATTCTAAGCCCTTTTGGCAGCTCCATGGGGTGTGTCTGGCCTCAGGTGTTGGAACCCATCAGTAATGCCATGAGAAAGGGCAGGCGGGCCACAGATCTCAGTTCACCATTTCCACTTAGTATGACACCTGCCAGTCCAGCCTTACATTGCCTAGTCTGCAGTGGTACCTCTGCAGGAGTCCATGTGTCCAATGGTGCAGATATGTTTCCATTTCCCTCAAGATGGAAAATAAGGAATAAGCTCTGTAAATCATGTGGCTCACAAGAAGTAAGTGACAGATAATAACTTAGATTTTGGAATGACAGAGTGACCATTTAAACATATTTGTTGGCTGGGCACTGTGGCTCACGCCTGTAATCCCAGCACTTTGGGAGGCTGAAGTGAGTGGATCACCTGTGGCCAGGAGTTCAAGACCAGCCTGGCCAACATGGTGAAACCCTGTCTCTAGTAAAAGTACAAAAGTAGCCGGCCCTTGTGGTGCGCACCTGTAGCCCCAGCTATTCGGAAGGCTGAGGCAGAAGAATCCCTTGAACCCAGGAGATGGAGGTTGCAGTGAGCTGAGATCGTGCCACTGCACTCCAGCCTGGGTGACAGAGTGAGACTTCCTCTCATAAAGAATTTTGTTAAAAATTTTGAGATATAACATATAAAGTACACAAATCTTAAGTGCACAGCTTAAAGAATTTTTGTGTGTATGCATGTGTGCGTGTAACCACTATCCAGATAAAAACACATAACATTTCCAGCATGCCTCCTGCCTTATGCCACCTAATGAAGCATTTTCCACCAAAGGTAACTACTTTTCTTATATCCGTCACCATAGATTAGTTTTTCCCTGTTATCAAGCTTCATGTAAATGGGATTATTCCAGATGCACTCTTCTAAGTTTGACTCCTTTTATTCAACATTATGTCTTCAGGTTCATCCATGTTGTTGTGTATCAGCAGTTCATTCTTTTTCTCTGCTGTTTAATATTCTTTTGTGTGAATAAATCACATTTTACCTATCCATTCTACTATTGATGAATATTTGGGTTGTTCCCAGTTTGAGTCTATTATGAATGAAGCTTTGAGCACTCTTGTGCATGTCTTTTGATGAATGAAGCACTTGTTTTTGTTGAATATATACCCAGGAGTGAAATTGCTGGGTCGTGGCACATACCTGTGTTTTCAAAGTAGTTGTATCAATTTACAGCCATTGCTTGAAAAAAACATTTCTCCTCTCTGATTTTAACTCTTCTGTTTTATTTTGATCAACGGAGATGTTCTAGGGGCAGGCTCTGCTTAAATAGTTGTGGCTTTAGAGTTTTCCAGGGCACTCTATTGATCAGTATTGATTAGATGACTATTCCCTACTAATCCCTGCCTGGAAACTATTCTCCTCTCACATCTTTCTTCTCTTTGGCTATCACCATGACTGACTCCTGTAATGGAATCTGAATGAGGTGGTGCAGAGTTTAGAATAAATCACCTGCTTTTCTTCTTCCACACCTCAGGCTAGAATGTGCCTGACAGAAGACTCCAGCCAAGGAGAGCCAGGAGTGTGGTCTTCATCCCCGGTTCCCTAGATGAGTCCTAGAGCTACAGATAGACAAAGGCCAATTAAAAGTCTGCAAGGAGGCTGAGTGCAATGACTCATACCTGTAATCCCAGCACTCTGGGAGGCTGGAGGATTGCTTGAGCCCAGGAGTTTAAGACCAGCCCGGGCAACATAGGGAGACCCCATCTCTACAATAAATTTTAAAAATTAGTTGGATATGGTGGCACATGCCTGTGGTCCCAGGTACTCAGGAAGCTGAGGTGGGAGGATCACTTGAGCTGAGGAGGTCAAGACTGCAGTGAGCCAGGATCATGCCACTGCACTCCAGCCTAGGCAACAGAATGAGACCCTGTCTAAAAAAAAAAAAAAAAAAAAAATCAATCTACAAGGAGCTCTTTGCTCCAAGAAGAGGAGTGGGCAATTAGCAGGGAAAAGAGCAAGCTCCTCCTGTGTTCTCCCTCCTCACCTTTTCCTTAGATTCTATGAGATTTGGGGCAACATATCTACTCCCAGTGTATGCATAGTGTTTAGATAACTTTAGGCTCAAGCTGTCAAACTGGGACTGTTTTATAGGCAGCTCAACAACCTCAGGGGCATGCATGGAGGACTTTATCAACAGTCCCAGACATTAATCCGTTCATTACAGCACCCAGTGCTGAGTCTGCCTCATCCTGCTGCTGTTCTCTCTGATGCTGGGGTCACAAGATTTCTAATCACACACTGACTCCTCTGTAAAATCAATCTGTGTGTGTCTCTGCCTCTCTCTGACTATATCTCTGCCTGTTTCTGCCTTTCTGTCTCTCTGTCTTTGTCTGTCTCTCTCTCTCTCTACCTCTGCCTTTATTTCTGTCTCTATTTCTCTGTCTCTCTCTCTCTCTCTGCATGTCTCTGTCTGTCTCTTCGTCTCTGTCTCTCACTGTCCTTTTTTTTTAGATGGGATCTCGCTCTGTCACCCAGGCTGGAGTGCAGCGATGCAGTCATAGCTCACTGTAGCCTTGAATTCCTGGGCTCAAATGATCCTTCTGCTTCAGCCTCCCAAAGTGCTTGGATTAC